ATAGCTTTCCTTGTAGTTGCCGTATTCTGCGTCTTTTTTGGCCTTACACTCATTGCCTTCGGTAATGAAATGGAACGCGTTCTTCTAGGGTCTGCGGCACATGGCGCTGTCCTCGTCGTCTTCTTATCATTAAATAATTGACCCACTAGGGCTCATATGGGGTTTACTCACGTTCTTCTTCCTGACTCCTTTTTTCTTTTCCTTTTTCTTTTTCAATTTAGGATATAATTTGACAACGATAAGTGTTCCTATGGATACCACGGGGTACCTAACGAAAAGTGTGCACAACTCCTTATATTACCTCAATATTAAATAAATATTCGAGTTCTCTCCTCTAGAAGATGATTTCAAAGTCGCCTGTGACTACAATATCCGTTACGAACAAGTAAAAGGCATTTGAGGATGACTACGAAAGGAATGGTTCGTGCTTCTCTTGACATTTTACCGTCGCCCCAAATTGTATGTGGCGTTCCTTACGGAGGTCTATCCGATATAAAAATAATAAGTATGGAGACCCATGTGATGCGGAACCCAGGGTGTAGCAATTGCGAAAGCCAAACCCAGGCAACAATATACTAAGTATTTAAACTAGAGACCAAGGAGCCGTAATATTTACCGTAAAAGGCAGAAACCATCTCCGTCGCGTATAAAGAGGTCTACCCTCTATTCTCCTAATACGCATTTCATAATCTCAATCAACACTGATACACCTTCCATTTGGCCATAGTAGGCCCTCGAGTATTTCATCAAGAGAGCTAATGAGGCTGGTAGCTACCCTGGATCAATTTTATTGGGCCAATAGCATTGATGGGTTAGCTTTAGATATCAATTTTATTCCACCTCCCCGCTCGATGTACATGAACGGTGGATCTTGGTTGATCATATCCAACAGAATTAATTCGTACGCATATTTCCGGATAGGTGGCAAAGAACCACAAAATGATTCACGATCTCCCGCGCATCGATAACCTACCGCACAATGCATGAGCTCATCTGCTTTTCTTGAAATAAAATTATTCGACCAACACATCTCGCTTGGTTGCTCGTGAGGGAGAGTGGGATCCAATGCATTTTAAAGTCGTGTTGCGGCGGAAATTTCACCGCAGCTTATTGGGTGGCATCGCGACATTGACTACTACACTGCAGCTCGAAAAGCTGGGTCAGGCAGCGAGGAGAAGGACACGTAGGGTTGAAAGATGCGCGGCTCTAGGGAACTACCAATCTACCATTTTTCACTAACCGCCGACCATCCGTAACGACTCAAATCGCATCCGAAAACATGTTGATTCACGCAAAGCTGGTATATATATATTTGCTGAAAGCAGCGAGTAATGTCAGTGGTAGTAGCAATGATCACAATCAGTTTCCCATCCCACATAGCCAACATTTCATTATCGTGTCTCGTTTATGTAAACACGAAGAAAAGTTCTTTCCAGTCGAGCGTACGAAGCATATTCACAGCGCCCGCTTTATCGTAGCCGCGCAGCACAAGAACCATGGGCCCTCCAACTAGGCTGCAAGAGCAAGGTCTATCTGCGAACGAGGGCCATGTTCTTACGGGGGTTCTCGATTACAGCAATGACCTCATCAACAGAGCGGTTGGCGCGAACGGTAAAATGAAATGGGTCGAGAACGAATCCGACGCAACGCCCAAGTTGTTTAAGGCGATCGACGAAGAAGTAGGGAAGAGGCGTCTCTTCGTATGCTGCGACGGTACTTGGGTGAATGCTTCAGGCACCACCGCGCCCCTGACTAACGTAGCGAGGTTTGCGCGTGCCATCGATCGCTTCGGCCTCAATCTCGACTACCCCGGCAGACCCGTGACGCAGGTGATCTACTACTCAGCAGGAATAGGCTCCGAGCCGGTCTTGAAGACGAGGGTCGACAGCATCTACTCTGGCATCACTGGAGCAGGTTATTATACAATATTTGGTTTATTGTTCTCCATTTTCGCAACCGGGACGCTAACAGGTCTGAACAAACAGGCTTAGAAGAGGACATCCTAAACGCCTATTGCTTTCTTTGCAACAACTACAACTTTGGCGCCCAAAACGACGAAATCATCCTCATCGGCTTCTCACGAGGTGCCTTCACCGTCCGATGTCTCGCCGATTTCCTCAGCCAGGTGGGCCTACTCCAGCGCAAGACGTTGCCCTTCCTCTCCGTCTTGTTCCAGCGATGGATGGATGCGAAAGAAGAAGAGGATAGGAGGAAGATGAAGGTGGAGATCCGAAAGATGGGCCGGGAGTTTTCCGTCCCAGTCAAGATTACCGTCCTTGCCGAATGGGACACCGTGAGCGCCATCGGCCACATCGGTTGGTCGAAGAAGTTCTCTTTCATGAAAGAAACGGTTCCGGGGAACGTCCAGAATGCCTTCTTGGCTATCGCCCTCAACGAAAGAAGAGGCAGTTTCAAGCCGATGTTGTACACTAGAGCTCGCCGTGGAACCAACGTGCAGCAGTGCGCCTTCGCTGGATGCCACTCGGATATTGGTGGTGGTAATCTAGATGCTGGGCTCTCTACGGTGTCTCTGCTGTGGATGGCGGCCAAGGTGCAGGGAGCTTGTCAGGCTTCTTTTGATCGAGGGGCTCTCCTTCAGATGGTTCAACCTCCACGACCCAACGCAAAGTGGTGGTATGGGCGGAAGGTTGATGAGACGATGGCCATGAATTTACTGTGGTCTAAAGGTAAGATAGCTCGGAACGAATACTTTGAGGCACCCAGACTTATATCTAGCAGGCAACATCAACGAAAGTCTTCAAGGGGTGTGGTATGTCCCACACGTCCTGACACTTGGATGGTCCTCTGGGTCTCGTAGGAGGCACTTCCGAAAGACATTTAGGCGCCAAGAACATCATGAGGCACTGGAACAAAAGAAGCAGAAGAAGCTAAACACACAGCTCAACCTAGCACGAGTAAAGCCATCAGCAAAGCTTTACGGGGCCAAATATGACCACGGAAATCCCAACGACGTAATTAAAATGGTCGAGGAGGACGTCACTGCAAGAATCACAGATAGCATCGCAAGGGCCAGCAAGGCTAGCGCAACGAAGGAAGCAGAGCTTCTCACAGCCACCGTCAAAACAACCATTCACGTAAACGATACTGACAGTTCCGAGACGAAGATCGCAGCAGTCATCGACGCAACTTTCAAGACATGTCCGGATAAGAACGAAGCCTCAGCCGACCAACGCACCATCACGCAATTTAACAGCTCCATGATCGAGACGGCACTCCAAGTAGATGAAAAGGGGCCGGATTACGTCGATTGCAACCTGAAAATCCACTTCACGGTGAAGGAGCTGGTGAAAGAACTCAGATACAGATCTAAAGAGGGGACTCTCGAGGGATTGTCCGAGAAGCTCGGCTGGTTAGGACACGAGAGAAGTCAGTTGGTAGACTATCTCCCACAGGAAAGCTACGATAACAACGAGAGGAGACTATGGGAAGAATGGAAGAGCCAAGTGGATATGTGGCACGCCAGTAACGAAGAGCGGAAAGGAGGCTGGAACAAGAACGTTACCTACTGGAGCGACGTACTCGCGAAGTTCGACAAGGGAGAGAGCCCCGACTCTCAGGCCCGGAAGGACATGATACAATGGGAAGTCCGTACAGACCAACTATCCCGGGTAGCTGACGCCACGGCAGCAACAGCTCAGGCAGGCTTGCAGACGGCCGCGGCAGATGTCACAGGGGCCGAAACCCAGCTGGAGTTCGCGGCCCGCGCGGTGACAAAGGTGGCGGAAATAACCCAGCTACTGAAAGGTGGCGAAGATGGCACGATGAAGAAAGTGTGGTCTGCCATGGATGAGGTCAAGGGGGCGTTCGGACGGGTGCCGGCCGAGGCGGTGACAGGAACTTTGGCAAAAGTGGTGGCCGGAGTCGCGCAAACTGTGATAGGGGGTGAAGCAAAAGGGGCTCCCGCCTCTCGGGCACCCGCGAAGGGGAGGGTGTCCAACCTAGTTCTCCTAGAGACAACGTCCCCAGAAAAGGATGTCCAAAGGGCCATCAGCTCGGCCACGGGGCAGTTGGCTGGTATTGCCGGGGTTCTAACGCAGGCACTATATTCCCCTCCCCTTCCTGGTCTTTCACCCACCGGAACCACGCCCGAGCCTTACGATAACGACAACGACTGGAAAGATAAGGTCTCAAAGGCCAAAGAGGCAGCCGACCGCATGGTAGAGAGCGCAAAGGTCTTGCAGAACGTCCGTACGCCGGACACGAATTCGTGGGAAGAGATGAAGAGCTACGCCGTACGGGCGAAGGAGGCGGCAGAGAGGGCGGCGAAATCCATAGCCAGCGCGACGATACAGTGGAAGCTTACAGATGAGGAAAGGAGCGAGGCCCTGTGCTACAGGATAACTTATCCGAGTTTGAACCCCACCGGAGACGAGGGAGAGAGGCATCACTAGGGCCCCGCCCTGAGAGTATCGAACAAGGAGCTCCGGTCAACAGAATACAGCTCAGGGCGACGAGCGATCTCACGACCGTTGAGGATATCATTCACTCTCATACCGGTCAAGACCGTCTTAGCTGTTGCAATCTTGAATCCGGAGACAGGACCCGATCACGCTAGATAAATACTGTAGATCTAGAATAGGGCAAGGGAACACTTTGATGCCATGCCCCTAGGCTCTAGCACGCCATATTACGGGGTGGCACTAGAATGTAACAAGCTGATATCGAATTTCCTTGGACCTTGTGACTTTCCTTTAAGTACTATAGTGCCGCATCCTGATCCCGTAATAACATAGGCCGACATCTCTTACAGCACCACAACGTATTCCTCGTCCTCCTTGTCAATCCCTAACCCTAACCCTCCAATGTTTTTATTTACGTTTACATAAGAAACATTCTATATATAATATAAACAAATTCAACATTCAATGCGCTTGGTGGCGGCGCCAGAGTCAAATTAGTGTTCGAACCTAGTCGACCGCCCACGCCCGCCCCATCACACCTAGGTATATCAATTCTTACACAGCGACTTACTTCCACGTACGACCACAGCCACTGGAAAACTCGGGGTCCCGTCCGCTCCCCCAATGGATAAGCCAGCGAGCGCCGGATTAGTAGTCGGGTCGGTGACGACCGGCGAATCCCCGGTGTTGTACGTTTTTTTTTTTTTGATTATTTTTGTCGTGTCTTGTTTCTTCCATGCTCATGTACTAGAATATATTACAGTTAGTGTGTAAAACGTCTCCGTCGAAACGTTGACTCATGGCGCCGGCCCTGGCTCAAATGCTACATGTGCTCCAGCTTTATGAAAGAAGGGTATTCTTCAGGGCGCCATACTTGAATAATTAATCCACTGCCCCTTTTTCATGTCAACCTCTATCTACCCTGGCTTACTAATATCTACCTTTCACAATATAAAAACCTAGGCAATAGGTGGTTAATATCCCGGGGGTCTTCACTCTCTATATATCCACCAGTCGGCTGTGCGGCTTATTTATAGTTTCTTCAGCCTCGTCTTCTTTTCAGCCGCCTTAAATCCATTATCGATGTTTTCCAGCGTACAAATAACGAGACGTATATATACTTCCTTCGCCGAATCATACACCTGACTCACAACAAACACACCAGAGGTAATTTGTCTCCTTTCCCTAAAGCTGTTCGCCATTTCATGACGATCACGTATCCGAAAGGGGGGAGCATTCATGATGAATCATCTAGCGTTGAAGTCACTCCGTCATAGCCAGCCAAGGTCCCAATGTTCACTTACTATTTTAGATACCGAAAGTTTAAACAACCGGTCTGGAGAATCGCACGACATGTGTCACACGTAGCACGCGCCGAGATCGATCTCGTCCCTACGTCTCGGTATTGATTGGTGTATTACAGAGGGATCCAGCCTGAAACCTCATTCAGTCCTTACGTGAAGCCCGAAACAATCAAAAGATATGAGGCAATATTAGGCGAGCCGGAATACTTTCCGACTGGGGTACATACTGGGCTGACGTTTGCCGCCTTATGTCAACAGCTTCTAGGAGAATATAGCCTTTTAATACCTTAAATCGTTTGTATTTAGAGCCTACCTCCAGGCCCTAGTTTTTTAGCCCTAGGTATAATTGATATATACCGTGCTAGTGCCGAGCTACTACCGCTCGACCGGCGACAGCCGAGCGCTCCGCGGGAATCACGAAGGCGCGAAACGTTTCTGTAAATATATAACATTCCTCCTTCTACTTCTCGTAAGGCTACCGAGAGCTAAATAACAAATGGCTAAGAAACTTTAAGATAGATAACATGTTAGGAGTTTCCCCTCATTTCTACGTGCCTCACACTCACTGCTACATACGCTTCTCTGCCTGTCAGCTTGCAAGGGAATATGAATCCGCCTCGCGGCAACTTTCGTTCCTTATTTTCAGCTTATGTTCACTCACTTTTACTCATACGGATGAATAAAATGATTTTCCACTTCATGAGCCTATTTCCCGCGTTCTTATATATCTACGACGTGAAAGGGGCTAGTGTCAAAAAGCCTAGCTAATGGCATCCGTTGAGTCATACCTAGATATATGAACGCATTCCCGCTTCACACAGAGGTCATACGTTAAAATTTTTGGGAAGAGAAGGGCAATTAAGCAAATAAAATAAAGTTCATTATAGGTAGGTAGGTGCTACACAAAACTTAGTAGATGGATCATCTCTCAAGGGCATAGTGCGTTATATGATACTTATAAATAGTTAGGAGTTAGATGAAAAGGATACCTTTCTACACAGATAAAATGCGGGATTGCCATATCATTTCGACACTATTTCTATTGTGTTCTAAGTTCACAACAAGCTAGAACGTTCAATTATCGTCAGCTTGATAAGATAAAGGAGAGTTGCCTTTAGGCTTTCTAGAAGTTTGTAAACAAGGGTGACCCGAATACCCAAAGCATATTAATACGCCTAAATTGTTGAACTTCCCGCTTATCTCTAGGACGGGCGAGGTCTAGTCCTCAGCCGGAGCCGTTTTTCGGTCCGAGCCATTATTATTCGGTAACTCCACATGATAATTCAAGGCGCCATGGCTTAACTAGCTAAAAATTGGGTTGAGTTTTAAACGATAAACCCATTATTATGACCAAGTCAGCCTTGACTCGGTATTAGTGTAAGGAGCGAGATAACTCACCATAACCACATAAATATCTCCGCGGACTAAGATCGAGGGAGGCGTTGTGGGCAAGGTTTGAAATATATTGGATGCCTCCAGACCTGTATTCGCGGACAAGCCGCGTAGTCTAGTATCGGCGGGAAGAGGATACATTTAAACATGGTGGAAGTCAGAGCCTATTAACTGAAGTTACCTACGGAACTGGTGGGAAGGGATGTAGAGGTATTAGTACAGGATTTACGAAGTCGTGTTGCTCAAGCCCATGAAGCCATCCTGATCGATCCATACAGCTAGGTTTCACACACGCATAGACGAACGAACAGTTATCGTGACACCTTGATATCCATCTAATTATACCACAGGCCTCAACAGTAAGTAAGAGCAACAATAACTGAGTTCAACGCGGCCGCCCTCCCTCTACCCCAAATTCTAATGCAACGAGTTTCAAGTTTTTTCCCAGAACGCCTAGAATGCAGATGCTCCCGTGTCTACAACCCCGTATACGACCGTGAACTCCCCGCCAGATCAGACCGCCGTCACCCCCCCTGCCCACTCGGCGGCGGCTCCTCCTCGTCGACGCCCTCGGGCATCTTACCCTGCTGCCTCGAGCACAACCCATACACGCTCTGCTGGCCCTTGGCCGCGATCTTGAGGTCCGCGAACCGCGCCTCCGGCAACCTCTTGCCCGCCTTGATGCTCTCGAGCACCCACTGGACGCCGACGAACTTGACGGCGGGGCCCCCTATCTTCGCGATCTCCCTCTGTAGCTTCCCGCCCGCGAGACCCCCGCCGCTGCCGCTGCTGTATCCGCCCGCCGCGGGCCGGCCGAGGATGACGTGCGTCACTTTCCGCCGGCCGAGGTGGCTAGACAGGCTGCCGCCGTGCTCGGCGAGCACGTGCTTCAGCTTGTGGTCCGAGATGAGCGGGTGCGTGCTTCCGTTCAGGTACACGACGACGCCGTCGAAGATCCTGCGAGGCGGCTTGGCCCGGTCTCTGGCCTGGTCCTCTGCCTCGCGCTGAGCCATGAGGCGCTCCTCGGCCGTCATCTCGCGAGGATCTGAACCCCTCAACCCAACCTTCTTCTGGGGCTCGCGGGGGTGGAAAGTCGAACCTGAAGACGACGGAAGCTTCATGGTGCCAGGGTTGGCCAGCATGTCGAGCACCGAGCTCTGTGCTCGCGACCGCATCTCCGGCGTGACCAGTGCTTTGGCTCGCGGGTCCCAGTCCTTCGACCCTTCTCCCACGGCATCGGACACCCGTTTCCCGCCGCCAGGGCCGCCGGTGAATTGGCTCATCAGCTTCCGGTTCCGCGAGTCACGCCATCCCGTGCTCGCGCCCAGGCGGTTCTCGGCGCGCTGGTGGCCCGTCGACGACGAGTTCCAGGGGTCGAAGGACTGTCCGTGTACGGGCTCAGCAGCCTTGGGGACTGGCGGTTTGGCTGGGGGCATTGTGATGATGATGACGATGAATGGTGGTGGTGGTGGTGGTGGTGGTGGTGGTGGCGATGATGATATGATGTTACCTCAGATGGCAGTGGTGACGTGATGAATCGGGGCTCTGGAATGCCGCTCTCATGGCTGATTCATCGGTGAAACAAAATGACGAAGACCAAGTAGTAGGTATTACTGCGTCAGAAGTCCCTTACTCCGTCTTGCCCGCCGTCTATTGTTCTCTCTTTTCCACGTTGCCGTTGTTTTGCTGCCACATGGCACAATCATGTTCATTCATTGTATTGTTTCTCAAGCAATCAAAACACAGCATCAGCTAAAAAAGCCACCTAAACCTAACTACCAGGCAACAAGAGACAACACCAACCTAAACTCAAACCTCTCTACTAACCCACCCTTAAGCGTGAAGCTAAAAAAGCTCGCTCTCTAAGACAACACGTGACCACAAGTCCGTCTCGCATCTTTAGTGTACTAGTGGTGGTAATAATAATAATAATAGAATCATACCTAACGATGTCTTGATGTCTTGATGTCTTGAACTGTTTAATTAAAAATTATAATATGTAAATCTATTTAGGTATTCCACATAGTACCTAATGGCGCAATGTCTGGCTCGGCTGGAGTGAACGTCCCGGGACCGCCTGACCTCATCATGTTGGACGTTCTTTTCTTATCATGTCCGTTTGTTTGTTGATGCTATATTTATGCTCTCTCCCCAACCATCCAATATCGAACAATCACAATCAAAAACCCTTTCAGACTTTTCTTTTTCCTCTGCCAAGTTCGTTGCTCGGACGGCATTGCGTGCAGGGCCAGCGCGCCGTTTCGAACCCACCTGCGCCACGAAAATCCGTATGTACATGCCTGAATCGATTCCCTGATAAGGTGAGCCGAGAGCGCAGCGCCAATCGGGTTGGCCCTCTAGTTGCGAGGAACGGGCCCCAGCTCTCCCCCCAAAAAGAGCCGGGGATTATTGGTCTTGGCCCTGGTTTTTTTTTTTTTTCCCTACCCCTACTTACCCTTTTTTTTTTTTCCTGCACACGTACGCTAAAATGCACGGAGGGCCTTGGATTGGTACGGGGAAGAGTGGGCTGTGCGTCGTTTTGGCGCGCGCACCGCGGGCTGCATTCCTTTCGATGGACGGACGGCGTTTCATGGGAGGGAAGGACGGGGGAGGATAGGGATAGGGTGGGTTGGGAAGGGTGGTGGTGGTGGGTGGATGGGGGATGGGATAGGCCCAGTGTAGCGTCGCAGCGGTGGCGGCAATGGGCCCATGACCGACGAGGATGCGAAGAGGGATGGTGGTTTGCTAATAAGCTGAGAGATAACATTACATGCGCGTGCACCAGATTATTACCTTAGTATCAGCCAGCAGCAGCGGCAGCAGCAGCGGCAGCATATTGCGCTCAGCGAAGACGACGTTGATGACCCCGATCGTCGGCAAGCCACCCAGCCGGGAAGGGGCAAAAAAAAAACAAAAAAAACATAAAAAATCAGAAACGAGATTGGGGCACTCGCGTTTTGTGTGTTGTGATTTCGTCGACAACGCTCGTCCCCGGTTCGA